AGTGTAGTGCCTCCGGCCCCTGCATCAGGCACGCCGTGAGGAAGTCATGCAGTACAGTACCTGGTAGTGGGTACAGCTCTACAAGGGGGGGGGGGGGGCTTCAGCCTATCGGGCATACGCGGTAAAAGAGACTTCCGCTAGAGGTGCGATGGTCAATCCTTGGCGTTCCCCGCCCCGCCCGATGTAGGCCGCGGTATCCAGCAAGGGGGGGGGGGTGGTGCCTTAATTGTTCTGCCCGGGTGGTAACACATAGATTTGCCTGCCCATCATAGGTAGTGTGCTAAAGTATCTGCGCCCCATGCCTGCCTGGGATGAAGGTACTTGAGAGAAGTGGAGGTTTGTGTGCCGATGACGGTCCTCCGCTGTTTAGGTGGCCGGGAATTCCCGTCACGAAACATGAACACGTGATGCTGAGGTGCAAAACGATGACGACGGGGGGACTGCCGGACCGTGTTGCAGGTCGCGTGACCGAAAGGGAATGACGGGCGGTACGGGGCTTTGTTATTTTATTGATAAGGCGCCCGGGCTGTCGGCAACAGCACACACGGGACGACAGGGAATGATCAAAGGGCCTATATCGATGGTTCGTCGCATGATTGCGCGGAACAGAGCAGAGGTACACGGCACATATGTGCCATGGGGCAAGGCACATGCGACAAGGTCACTGCCAAAAGTTTCAAGGTTTGTCGGTAAGCCATGGGCTTCCAACAACAACAACAATATGACATTATTAGATGAATTTGACAAAATAGAAAATCTTAAATGACAAGTCGTCAGATGTGTTGTGGTGATTTGGTGAAATATTGTACAACAAATTTATATGGTTATATGGCGAGGTGCCTGAAATGGTGCCCAGTGCAAAAATCATTCCAGGCTCGTGAAGAAATTGTGAGGTTAGGTGTACGTAGGTACGGAGAAAAACACATCGCATGGGAAGCATGTCTATCAACGAGGGGAACGACAAAGCAAAGAGGCAGGTCTCTGAATAGCTACTTACTTATTTTTATGGTTCCCTTCAGCCATATTCTCACCAGTCCGGAATCCGGCAAGACTTTTGGGGTGGTATAAGGTCGGATTAAGTACAGTCCAAGGCACCGGGCGTTAGTGCGGCTATCAATATCGACTCCTACAGGACCCTCTTGCTGCCGAGGCACGCAGATAACGCGGAGGGAAGGGCAGCGAACGGCATGTTCGCTCTGCTGGCTATTTCAACTCATACTGAACTCGCGCGGGCGCCTCTGGCGCTGGCGCCCTTGGCCAGCTGACGTGCCTAGAACACCCAGAGGCCAAGAGCGCATACTGCGACGGGCTGTTCTCTGATTGGCTGGTACAGTTCGCTAGATGTACGGGAAGGAAATAACTTTTTATGGATGATGAGTGACGTATTTGTCGCTGGAAAAAATGCCTTACAGTCTCACCTCAATTCCTGTGTGGGGCTGAAACTTAAACCTCGCTGAACACTTGACGAACACTCATTGACTGATGGAGGCTAGTGGTGTTAGTCGCGTGTCTACTCCATAGCATACTCTTCTGTACGTCATCTGCCCTGAAATTTGCCGCCAAAATATCTGTTGTGTTGTTGTCATGTGTGCCTGCGGTCTGCGGTTCTTTTACTGTAAAATCTGTATCACCTTGAGATCAAGTTTGAAGTGTTTTGTATTTTAATGCCTGCTGTTCAACAAATAGTTTTATCGTTGGTGTAGTTAAAAGATTCGAGAATGAGTGATTCTATTGGTGAGTGTATGATATGTCTTTGGCTGAAGCTTGGAGATTCATTGTCTTTTAGTTTTCCTTTTTTGATAGTTATATATTCATCACCATCATTGTAGCAGCCTTGAGAGTATTTTTTACGATTATTTTATTTCAACTTCCTATGCCAATCGTTTCCTTTCAATATATTTGTCTACATTTTTACACTGGAGGTTATAGATTTCTTCGACTGAACCAGAGCACTTTGCTCTGCCCACGTTCAGCGGTTGTGGGGTTCTCACTCTTTTTTTCATAGTTTCTCAATTTCTTCTGTGCAACCCTATTTTCTACTTGCCTCATATTGAAGTCGTATCATCTATGTCTTTGTTGACAGCATCTGGAAGGCAGAAACGCCAGAAACTTGATAAGAATGGGAAGTTTGCAGCGTTACAAAGATTGAAAGAATTAAAAGGCAGTAAAAACAAGTATGAAGTATCTGATGTAGATCGCGTCTATGAAGAAGTGGATGAAAGAGAGTATGGCAAAAAGGTCTTGGAGCGTGCAGATGACTGGATTGTCGACGATGGTATACCTTATCTTCTCAATGTCAATTTATCCTTCTTTTTCCCCATTAAATAATTTTTTACTCCTATGTTTTCTTTTTAGATGGCAGTGGTTATGTTGAAGATGGGCGTGATATTTTTGATGATGATCTGGATGATGAATCTATTTCCAAAAGTTCCAAAAATCAAACAACTTCTTCAAAGAAGGCATCGCGTCACAAACTGGCTGATTCCTCAGAGAATAAAGGGTCCTCCAACATTCGTAATATGCTCATGAGCATGCCTGTTAAAAGGAAAGTAGCTAATGTAAAATTAGAAGATGATGATGTTCTCGGAGACATCATGTCTGAACTCAACAGTGAACGCAATTCTGATGTCCAGAATGAGGCGGTAGAAATGTCTGCAAGTGATTATCTAAAATCATTCAGGAAAAATGTCAAGATACCGAAAATGGAACTACCTCCTAAACCCAAACAGGAACCGATCAAAGCCAAGCCTATTGTGAAAAATGATATTGTTGTGAAGAGTGAACCTATCAGTCCTGAGAAAATGGACATTGATGTTACAGAATCCCAACGCATTGATGACTTTGATTCAAATGATGGCTTCCCCACTGATATTCCTGAGTGCTCAGCCATTTCAGCTGCAAATGATGTAAATTGGGAAATAGAAGACTTTGACTCTCAAGAATTAGGCAAGGTCATGGACAATGTAAACAGCAAGTCTTTGAAAGCTGACTCCAAAATAAAAATAAAAGAAGAGCCAGGGGTTATTCCTTTCAAGATTGAAGAAAATTCAGAAGATGTTGATGTGAAAAGTGAATCAGGTCTTACAGATGAACAAATGTCTGCTTTGCCTATGCCAGTTTGGGAGGCTTCAAACTCAGCAGGTCCAGCTGAAGTATCTGTAGATCTCTCAAAACTACCTCTCACAACTAATGAGAAAGGAGATCAAGTTTTACGCCTCTTCTGGTTGGATGCATATGAAGATCCATTCCGCCAGCCCGGAATTGTATATTTATTTGGTAAAGTTTGGATAGAAACTGCAAAGTCCCATGTCAGCTGCTGCGTAGCTGTTAAAAATATTGATAGAAGAATCTATTTGTTGCCTCGTGAGGAGCAAATGGACTTGAAGACTAAGAAATCAACAGGCAAACCTGTTTCTTTAACAGATGTTTATAATGAATTTAACAATGAAATCTCAAAAAAATTCAAACTTTCTACATTTAAATCAAGGAAGGTTACGAAAAGCTATGCTTTCAGTCTTCCTGATGTTCCTGCTTCTTCTGAGTACTTAGAAGTAAAATATCCTGCATCGTGTGGTGCTTTACCAAGTTCTCTAGAAGGTTCAACTTTTAGTAGAGTATTTGGAACCCCTACTAACAGCTTAGAGCTGCTCTTGATTGGAAGACGTATCAAAGGCCCATGTTGGCTGGATTTGTGTGCTCCTGAACCTGTTAAAAATCCTACAAGTTGGTGTAAAGTTGAGGCTTGTCTTTCAAAACCAGAACATGTATCTGTCTATTCTGGAAAACCTCTGCCACCTCCACCAATAGTTGTTGCGTCATTGAGTATGCGCACTGTTGTGAATCCAAAGACACATCAAAGTGAGATTGTCATGATTGGTTGTCTTGTTCACCATGAATTTCACTTGGACAGACCTGCACCCAATCCTCCCTTTCAACAGCATTTCTGTGGTAAGTAGATTTATAATAGGTTGAGACCTCTCTTGTGATGCGTGGTTAATTTTCCTTATTTTTTTCCTCCTGCCAGCTTTCACTAAACCCTGTGACATGGCTTGGCCTCTTGATCACAAAGATGCTGCTTCGCGTTTCACTGCCACAAAATTTGAAAAGGTTGATTCTGAGAGAGCTTTATTAGGTTTTTTCCTGGCAAAATTCTTTAAACTGGATCCTGATCTCCTTGTTGGTCATGATATATCAGGCTTTGATCTAGAGGTACTAATGCATCGAATTTTTGTTAACAAAATTCCCAACTGGTCAAGAATGGGACGTTTGAGGAGAGCCAACCCTCCACAAGTAAAGGTAATGGGTCTCTTCAAGGAATTATGGATAATGTACTCTATGTATGTATGTACCTATTTACTTAATCTAATTATTTCCCAGGGGCGATTGCAAATTGAAAGGAACCCTGTTTGTGGCAGACTTGTTTGTGATGTTAAAATTTCGGCAAAGGAGCTAATTAGGTGTCGAAGTTATGATCTTAGTGCCCTATGCGAAGCTGTGAGTTTTCTAAAATATTTTACGTCCATCTACTAATCTACATTCTACTTCTTCTAACTTTTCTCTCTTGCTTCGTAGGTTTTAAAATTAAAAGAAGATGAACGGCGTGAGTTGTCTGCCGATGAAATCCGAAAATGTTACACGTAAGTTATGCTGGTTTTCTTTTGATTCTCATTTCTACAGTTCCTGTGTGCCTATTACCTATTGCCACAGTTAAATACTTTTGATTTCTTTCAGAAATTCTCGTGAAATGTTTTTACTTATAACATGCACTATGCAAGATGCAACTTATATTATTCGTTTGATGTATGAACTGAATGTCATGCCTCTTGCTATGCAAATTACGAACATTGCTGGTAATAAGATAAATCAAAAATCAGTTTCAAATCAACCTTTACAAACTCAACAATTTTTTTGTGTGAATTACAGGAAATCTTCTATCTCGAACACTTATGGGTGGAAGATCTGAGCGCAATGAATACCTTCTCCTTCATGCCTTTACTGAGAAAGATTATATAGTCCCTGACAAAGAATATAAAAAGAACAAAGTAAGAATTGCAATTTCCACCTGTATTCTGAATTCTATTAAATGATCAAACGCTTGTCTAGAGTGTGGCTAACTAGTGGAAAAATCTTTTACCTTTTCCAGCAGGTTCAAGAAACTGATCTGGAGGTACTGGATGAAACTGGTGGAAATCAAACTAAGAAGCAAGGAGCATCTAGTAGGAGGAAACCAGCTTATTCTGGTGGTCTTGTTTTGGACCCGAAAAAGGGTTTTTATGACAAGCTGATTCTGTTGATGGATTTTAATTCATTGTACCCCTCAATTATCCAAGAATATAATATATGCTTCACTACTGTCAATGTAACTCACAATTCAAATGTAAGTTTTCCCCTAAATCATAGTTCGTTGTTATCTATCTGTTCTAATTTTTAAAACTCATCTGAAAATCTGATTCTTGAATCTACTTAGGATGATATTGAGCCAGATCTTCCTCCGTCAACTGTTGAGCCAGGCATTCTTCCCACAGAAATCAGAAAACTAGTTGAAAGTAGGAGGGAGGTGAAGAAATTGATGAAGAACCCTGATTTGTCTTCAGAAGTTCGCATGCAAGTTAGTGAATTAATTTGT